AAGGATTGTGCCCCAAACCTGCCCCATTAAAAGAGGGGGGATCTCCACCCCCATACTGCCCCCGGCAACGAGGGGGGGGGGGGGAATTCTGGAAGTTGAAGTCCACTCATCTTAAAGTGGCCAAGTTTGGACAACACTGTTCTAGATGGTCCAGTACATACAAAAACCAATCTTTTGATGGATGAATTTCAATTTTAAATCACAGGACATAAACCTAGTATAGTATTCTTCAAAATCTGAGTCCATTGGTTGAAAAGAACCAGTTTCCGATTCTTGTCTCCAAGATTCGCGCCAGGTTCCCTGTTTCAATCGTTTTCCTTCTTGTAGATTATTTTAATACTGTAATCATTACAAAGGAAACCAGAAGCTGCTATGATGCAAAGCCTCCTCTTTCACCATCTTCACCATGTATACCTTATTGCGATTCTTAGGCAATAAAAATGGTGGGTTGGGACGATCTGGAAACAGTAAAAGGACAGCTACTGTGATGGAGAGGATCAAGGCTTTTAGCAGGCCATTGAATTACTTCACAAGTTCATCTTCTGATAAATGGTGTTTTGTGGCTGGCTGTGTCCATCAGAGTAGTGTGACGTGAAATGGCTAGAGGACGTTGTCTAGAGCAGGAAGTTTTAAACATTTTCAGGCTACGGAACCCGCTAGTTTAAAAAAAAAGAACTGGGACCCCTGATCAAGAGGCATAGCTCTAGTGATAGAAAACTGATTGTGTTGAAGTTAACTTTTTTTCCCCCTTAGTCTCTCATGGAACCCCATGAAGTTTTTAGAGTGCCCTAAGGTTCTGTAGAAGACATTTGAAAGTCCCTGGTTTAGACTTGTGGAAATGGGCATCACCATTGTGCTACTGTTACCCAGATACATCTTTCTTTTTCAGCTGCAGCAAGACTGTTGATGTTCTGAACTGTTGCTTGGACAAAATGATGCACTGATATGACTAATAGGTTGAGAATCAGTCTATAGAAAAGATTCCTCTGGCTTCTTTGGAGATTGATTCAAAGAATAAAATCTGAGAAATTCCTTTCTTCAGCTTATTTAGATACCAATATTCAAAGGATACTAGACAAAGAAAGGTAGAGAGAGTGAAGCAGATCCCTGAAATCACACCCATCAACTGCCTTCTGAGCTAGCAGTCATGTCGTTTTCATTGAATTAGGAGCCCTTGCCCAAGTCCTGTCTGAGATCAGAGACAGCTATAGGAGAAGGCAAGATAAAATTGCTAACTCTTTTGGCAAACTTCTAGCATCATGAGAGAGGGGGCCAGATCCAACCATGGGTCTAGCCCTCAAATGTGAACTCCAAACTCCATGAAATTTCACTGGGGGTTTGTACAAAACAGCTGCCTGATAGATAGTGTTTCATATACCAGTAAAGTATGGTGTTCAAGAGGTTTTGTTTCAAGTGCCCTATATGCCATCTATTTAGCTTCTTTCCTTTGTCCCCACACAGTCTAATTATAGGATTAGAGCTAGGATTTATATTTGGAATGTAGAATAATGCTTCAGATGTACACATCCACATTCATTCTGATTTCTCAGAGTTCCTGGGAAATACTACATCACATTTTGCCATTTTCTATCCACTTCAAATATCGGCATGACCATCACACTCTTTTTTCAGAGATAGTTGGAATGAGATAGTTACATTGAAGAGTAAGAGCCAAGATGCCCAACTCGAGGCCCCAGGACTGTCTGCAGTCCCTGAAAACCTTGACTGCAGCCTTCAGAGATCTCCAAAATTTATTATCAAATTCTAATTTTGAATGCAATAGAAGGGAAAAATTATTGTGTATATGATTAATAATCATGTAAATAATTCACATAATCATATAATAAAAATAATAAATAAGTTAATTATCTCTACATGAAAATAAATGAAATATAGTTCCCTCCCCCCTTCCCACAATGACTTTTCAGAAAGAACTGTGGTCCTCAGCATGCTACCAAAGGTCACATGTAGCTGTTGACCTGGAAAAAGTTATGCAGTGATTAAAAGTGAAGGTGTTGGAAATCATGGTGGCACACACATTCAAGATGACATATGGTGTTACAAGTGCAAGCTGTAGCTTAATCCCTGCACTTGTTTTTAAATTTGAACACAGAATTGTGCTGTAGACATGCACACCAAATTCCTATTAACTTAAACATTTACATGTGAGATACAAATTGGACACATTAAAACCTCTAGCTTGTTTTCTATCAATATTACTTGTTTCCTAAGAGACAATGCACTGTGTTTCTGGAAAAAAAATGCAAATCTAAATTAGATTTGATTTTGCATGCCTAACAATTTAAAAACTGAATTTAAAATGCTATATATAGCACACTAATGTTACAAGCTGCATAGCCACTGCAAGTTTCTTTTTCAATATCCAAACTTTGTTGAGTTACATTATTTAAACTCAGCAAACAGTTGATGTTTTACTGTATTATTATAGAACGATTGTAAACCACCATGAGTCTCTTTTGATTGCAATGCACATAAGTCAAATAAATAAATAAGTTAATTTAATGTAGTATACTTAATGAGACTTAAGGTTATTCAAAGAAGTGCACTTTTATGGCAAATATGGGATACATTTTAATAATGAAAAAGGTTAGAAGATTATAAATAAAAATGATTTTTATTGGAATCCATATATACATAACAGACAATAGCAGGCTCTTACATTACTGAGTTTTTAAGAAAAATAACCCAAACACTCTGAAACTGATAAGCGTATTAATATTAACATGTTGAAGAGCCATGCTCATAAATTCAGTCATTTTCTAGCTGTCTAAAAATAATTGATCACAAATTTGGTTTCAAATATCAGGTTTGATTTAGATGGTCTTCCTTCCGTTAGTTTATGAAATGCATTTCTCAAACTAAAAAAGGGAAGGGATTAATTGCTCATTTTATTCTTTAGGAAACCGAGGGACCAAGAGACTCCTAGGAGCCCCTCCTATGGGCCAGACAAACGAACCCATACTTTCAGGGGTTTGAGCGCTGAGCGCTGCCCATTCCCCTTGCTCCCTCGGACCTCTTGTGCTCAGCGGCCACCACAGCTACGTGACACTGTTCCCTGCGCTCCTCGAAAAGTGAGACTCCCGCGAGTCGGCCCGGCTGTTTTCACACCTCTGGCGCCCCGCCCCCCTCCGCCTCGCTCAGTCTCCTGCGCGGTCCTCCCCCACTCGCCAGGATGCTGGAGAGATGCACTCTCGTTTTCCGCCTCGTCGCGAGCGCTTCTCTTCGGGTGTTGTCCTCCTTCGCCTTACAAGGCTGCGCCGAAGCTCCCCCTCCTCCTCGTTGTAGGTGGCAGGGGGCGGAGCTCCTCGCTCGGAGGTTTTGGGACCCTGCCTAGCTCTTCCCTCCTAGAACCGAGCACTGCGGCCGTAGCTGGTCCTGCGCTCCCGGTCCAAGCCGCCGCCGCCGCCTCCTCCCTCTCTGTCGCGTGCCAAGCAGCTGCAGAAAGGCCGCGCTTTGCAGCTTCCATGTGTGCCCGGGCCGGATCGGCGCAGGCAGGTTGGTAGAGGCTTGAAGTCGCGGGGCAGAATGCGGTCCTCGCCCGGTTCTCGGGGCTGCCACTGCCCACCGCCGCCGGCCCGAGCAAAGGCGGGCGGAGAAGCCCTGCTGGGCAAAAGGCGAAGGAGGCACTGCCTGCCCCAGATCTGAGAACAGGGGAAGGTGGGGTCGGACCTCCGCTTTGCTGCCCTTCCCGACACCAGCCCTAGCTCTTCCCACTCCCTTTCGAGGCGGCGGCGGGAGGCACAGGGCAGACCAAACTTAGCGGCAAGTCCAGCGGGGCAGGCTGGCAAGCGCCCTCTTGGCATTGACGCCCCGCAGTCCGGAGAAAGGCCGTGACTCAGCACTTTGTGGGGACCCCTGCCCACCCCATTTTCTCGGATTGACAGCGCGCGCGGGAGACTTTGCAAAGAGCTTTCGCTGTTTTCGCCGCTCCCCACCCCCTTTGCGCCTCGCTCTCGCTCGCTGCCCATTACAGCTTCTTTGATCGTGTGGAGTAGGCGAAGCAGGCACCCGGGGGAGGGGGAGGGGCGGCGTGCGTCTCGCTTGAATGTGGGTGGAAAAGCTGGGGATGCTCAAAGAAGGCTCCTCTGCACGGTCCGGGCCTTCTTCCTTCCCATGCGTGCAGGCTGAGCTTTGGATTTGAAAGGACTCGCAGATTTTCCGCTTGCTATTGCCATTCTTTTTCCTTCTGTTCTGAGGGGTGGTCAGGTTGGTGTTGGTTCTCTTTTGGGACCGAGGTGAACGCTTTAACTCTGAGAAGAAAAACAATAGAGGCAGAGCCTAATTTTTGAAAGCATTAACTTTCCCCAGTTTCAGCCCCCTTTAAAGGCAAGACCCATTTGGGTTTTTGTTTTTTGGTCTTCATGATCTTTGAAGCTCAGTTTGTTCCTCTACTCAAGCAGGAATAACAGGACGCGGAAGTCTTACTCCATAGTCATCTTAAATCTCTTACCTCCAGTTTTTGTGTCCTAAGAGTTCTCTAACAATTCCAGGGATTATTACTGGCACTGTGTTATTGGGCACTGGTTTCCATGTGACACGGGGTTGATTTTGCAAGTCTGCCAGATCTGGGCTGCAAAAATATGGATGACCGCTAAATAGCAGCAGCGAGAGCGTTTAGTATCTACTTGTCACCTTTCACCGGTCACCCAGATTTTTGGTAGCCCTGTGCTGTCTTAATCAGAGGGCAAGGCAGCTGGCTTCTGTAATGACCTGTAGCAGTCAGTCAGTACAGTACTTGGGCCTTGTTGGGTGGTGATACTATTTCCATGCTCCATAAAGCTTCCTCTGCTGACTTCCCCATGTCAAAAGAATGAGAAAGCTCTTTTTTTGTTTGTCAGTTGGCAATCACAGATGGTAGGAAGATGAGAGGGTTAGGGTTGACCTGTTTTTTCACCAAACCAAAAGATGAGGTTTTGTGATTCATGGATTCTTTTCCTCATGACTCTGAAACCCATAGGACCAGTATCCAGGACTGGATCTGATAACCTTCCTGCAGCTTTCCCTAGCCCAATGTCTAGCAGAAGTGTGGGACCACCTGTCCTGTCTGAGCCAGCTCCGTTAGGGAGTTGTTGGATTGGAGCAAGCTATTCTTGCTCTAACCCAGCCCTCAATCTCACATTTCTTGCATTATTCCCCAGCCTGGCTTCATAGTGAAACTTTGTTCTCGTCACTGCCTCTCTTGCCCCCTTCCCCATGTTGAAAGAACTAGATATACAGTATTTACCTTACCCTGTTCCCCTTCTCTAATGTTTCTTGTTATAATTACAGCTTCCATCAGGGATGAAGAAGTAACAAGAAGGAATTTCAACTGTGCCATACCAGGAATCTTAATGATAAAAGTGACGGCACTTATGGAAGATTCCCTTGGACTCCAAGGTGCCTGGGACTGAGGAACTACCCACAGTTCTCCAAAACCACTATATCAGGTGGCAGATTTTATTCCAAGTTCCTTTGGATCATCATGACTGGGAAAATGGCCTCTAGCCTTACTTGTACTGGAGTGATCTGGGCCTTGCTTTCCTTCCTTTGTGCTGGAGTCTCCTGTGTGGGCTTCTTCATGCCTTATTGGCTACTGGGTTCTCAGCTGGGGAAATCAGTATCTTTTGGCACTTTCCGGAGATGTTCCTATCCTGTTCGAGATGAGAGCCGCCAGATTACAGTAATGGTGGAGCAGTGTGGACGCTACGCATCCTTCCAGGCCATTCCAAGTGTAGAATGGCAGATCTGCACAGTGGTGACCGGTCTGGGCTGTGGCCTCCTTCTTCTGGTGGCCCTCACTGCACTTATGGGATGCTGTGTGTATGAGCTGATCTCCAGGACTGTGGGCAGGGTGGCTGGAGGCATCCAATTCTTGGGAGGTAAGTACCTGCAAACTCTTGACCTTGGAACCAATGCCTGCCAGCACAGACACAGTGTCTGCATTGTTCTTGCTAAATCAAATTCATTCTTTTATTCATTTTGCTGCTATCAGCCTCCACAATATGGGAGGGGTATATTTATGGAGAAAAAGGACAGCAAATGGAATTTACAGTGCTG